AGCCCGACTCGGAGGCTCGTAGCCCCTTGGCACAGTGGGGAGTACCTGGGCAAGCTGGGTCGGACTGCTTTTCCTCCTCACGCGGGTCCTGCCTTCAGACCGCACAGCCAGCTCATGCTGGCCTCCTGAGAGGCCCCTAACAGAGCCCAGGCTAAGCCAGCGCGGAGCTGGGGTGGCTTGTCCGTGGGGCAACGTCTGACGTGTGTTGTTGCCTTTTGAGATAGTTCCTGGACAGACGGAACGTTAACATTGGGATTTGCCCTTTCTATTCTTGCTGAAGCACAGCTCTTGGCAACAGGGTTTATTGCACACAAATAAGTAGTTTGGCAACTACAGACATAATGATCTCACAGATGTAGATATTATTTAAGAGACAAGTAACTGAGCTCCACTTTTGCTCTGGGAAGGCTGCAGTTCAGTGGGAGAATTAATACACGTCTTTTGGATGCAACAGTCCATTGTGAAGGTGTCATTATATGCATGACCTAGTGTACTTTTCTGTAGGCGTCCATTAGTGGCCACTGTCAAAGACTGGATGGCTGCTTTCCATCTGCCTGATGGACCTTCAGTCTGACCCAGTGTAGTAGTTCTTTTCTGTTAAATCTGTATCTGCTTGTTAAATGCATATAAAACATACACAACATTTTGATTCAGTGTCTGCAGTCATCTCTGATGTGATCATTATTTTGTATCTAGGAGTAAACCTGTGTGGGTTTGTGTATTTGTGTATCCATGTGACCTTTTAGGGTTAACATGTCAATATATTTGCAGCGTAGAAGAATAGTTTATGTATTTATCTTTGCTATGGTATGGCACAATAGCTGAGAACAATTCATTATATTGGAGACCGTTCTGTTTCAAGAACTTTGTAGCCATATTTCTTGAAAGTGCTAAAAAACTGAGTGCAGACCAAGGGCTTACTGATAATCACATGCTGAGTAAATGTTGCCAGCCAAGTATTCCCTGAGTAGTCAGCTGCTTCAAGGCTACAATCCTTCTACAGCTCACAAAACTGAAGTTTATGAGAACTGGTAGCATTTGGCTTCCCTTTGAATTTGTGTCATGTGTCTGATAGTCAGGTGCAAGCCTGAACAGAAGCTGTCCTCTACCTGACGCAGTCAGGGAAGTTCTTCCCGGTGTGTGTTCTCTGGCGTCTTACAAGGGTAGAAGTAATGGTGCAGTGTGTGTCTCCTACAGTCAACTGCCTGTTTCTATGAAGTGTACAGGAACTCATTTGCTGGTTGTTTTTGTAAATGGTCAGCTCCTCTGCCCTTTGCCTTTGAACTGCTCCATGCTCTAGTGATTTTTCCTTCAAAACAGCTACTGTGTTGCCCATATGTCTAGAGTAGTCTTTTCAAGTTGGCTCAGGTACTTACTTACTCAGAGCATCCATGAGAGGTTATCTCTACTGTGGTATCTGTCTACCACAATCATACTGCTACAATTTCAAAGTTCATTAGAACAGCTTTCTTGGGATGAATCTCAACTAATTTTAACCATGTAAAAATGAAGCATCCACTCGGAATCGTCCTCTACAAACGCAAGAGACAGGTGTTAGCAAGGGATGATTCTTCCTACCCTAATATAGGTACCTTTAGAGAGAGAAACTTTATCTTTCTCCCTCTGTTGATTATGAGGAAAGCTTACGTCTAGATCTTGCTGCGGGATCCATGAGTTCTTTGACGCTTCTTGGTCTGGTGGCATACGCTCACCGCTTCTTGACTAATAAAAATAAGAGCAGCTGTACTGAGTCAAACCAGGAGTCCTCCCAGCTGTATATCCTGCCTGTGATGTAAGACCCCTGCAACCCTTAGCTTTTGGTGTATGCCAGGGCTTCTAGCTTCTGCACCAAATCAAGTCTCTTAACTGGCTCACTGGTGCCTTCGAGAAATAGTGGGTTCCAACCACAGCGTTCTGATTTCCCTCTTCACTTCCCAGTTTTTCCATTTTTGACCCTTAGGCTTTCACACACTCTCCCTTTAATTTATTTTTTGTCCTATGTGATCACTCAATTCTTCCTTGATTTCTTTTTCCTTAAATGCCCCCTTAATAGGAGAAGTTTGAGAGCTTTTTTGAGTTGGGATAGTAGGAAAGCAATAAAGAGAGGGTCTGAAAATCGATACCTGAGCAAATGTTTAGCCATTTGCAATTCAGGAACTTCCTAAACTTATCTTTGCTGAACTTATGGTACAGCGGGGTACTTCAACTGGTTCACTGATTCACTGGTTTTCATTGAAAGGAAACCCATGTACATGGGCCTGAAGGAGAGGGCACTCTAGCTAAGTCCCTAATCTGAATGAGCTGGGAAAGCAGGATTTTCGTGTTTGCTGCAGAGCCACATGGGATGACTAGCTTTGATTAGACAACTAACATTAAGGAGAAATGAATGCCAAACTAGATGTAATATCACTGCATATAACATGTAAATTAAAAAAAAAACGTTGCAAAACAAGCTGTCAGTAGCTAGATAAAACCAAATGTACCAAAGTTACAGTTCTTGCAACCATTAACCAACCCACTTTTTTGTATTTGTTGTAACAAACGTGCCAGGCATCAACTTCATCTAGGAGGCCTGTGGCAGAGCCAGGGCTGACAGCTCTACTGGGTTTCAGTCAAGGGCTTCAATGAACATCTTTTTTCATCCTGTGTTCTGCATAATCATAAGTCATCTTGAGTGCTAAATTCTTTGTGCCACATTGAACCAGCAATGTTATAGAAGAGAAAATATACAGACGAATTGCAATCAACTACACTGTAATTGTTCCAAAGCAGCTGTAACTGGAGTATGGAAGACATGAAAGGGATCAGCAAGACAGTGGCTTCTGAATGTTGCCTCTGAGTGGTTATCACCTCTTCCAGGAACTACCATGTACAACTTCATTTTTTTTTTCTTTTTATAAAACAAGGAGAAAGACACCTGCTACTTGCTAGTGTCAGAGAGAGTGCAGTGCGTGAGAGGATTTTGGTCTGACATGGTGTACTGTTCTATTTATTTTGCTTGAACTGAAAACCCCTATTAGCAGTTACAGGAGGTGAAAGGGACGGTGGCAAGATGCTGCCTGTCTCTGGACAGTCTCTGGGTTTAGTTTCTTTTAAAAAGTGTAAGTTTTTGAGGGTAGAATCTATATCTTTTTGTAATTAGACACCACTAAACACCTGTTACCATTTTGGGGGCATATGTAATAAATCACGAAACTGATAAAAATGTAACTACGGTATGTAGACTTATGTGAATGCAGAGTCACTTCAGTGCTTCCTCATTATGCAAATTAACACTGAAATACCAGAATATCAGGAACCTAACATATAAAAAAGAAAATAACTCTATGACTGCTGCCAGAATCTGCTGTTTACCTCCCATTTGTTAGTTGGAAAATCACAGTGGCTGTGATTTTAAGTACGGGCTACAAATAACATGGTAACATGAAAATTATCTTTGCTCTCTCATCAATACTAAAAGCTACTTTTCTGGCAAATTTGTGCATGTTAAAAGTAAACATAGCTATAGCTAGTTAGCACTAGCTTCAAAAAACCTTCGTGTTGTGGAGTGGTTCAGTACAGAGAATCATGGCCTTCTTGTGATGCAACAAATGATTGTTTCCACAGCCCACAATATTTATAGAGCTTTCCCGTGATTTACTACTCCATTTGACCCCTCTTCCAAGGCTCTACGGTTACAAGAAAATCAGGGTTTTAATATCAGCCGCTTTTTTTTTTTCCTCTCTCTCTCTCTTTACTAATTTGCTTCTTCCTTTCCCCATCCTGTTCTCTGGTTTGTTCCTGGGCTCATTTTTCAGAATTCTCTGTCTAGGTAGCTCTGTTCTGCACTAGTCCCAAGGGCTCTGTTAACAGATCTATTTCCGTCTTAACTATGATCAGGCTGCTTTAGGGAAGTACAGTCTGGTGTCCTGTGGTCTATGACATATATCTGCTTCATTCCTCAGCTGAAACTTTGAAATGGACCTGCATATGCATTCCAGGAACAGCACATTGTTATAACTGGAAACAAAAATATATGACTAACTGCACTTTTGATAGAGCTGCTTCCTCTTAACCTTAAAGTTGGTTTTTGTTAATGTCATTTTTCCCCCGAAGTGGAAAATGGCCTGGGGCTGCAGGTTATTCATATAGAAAAGTAGATGATATGATTTTACATTTCACAGTAAAAAGAAGTCTGCGGTTTTGTATCAGTGTATTTTATTTACTTTTTTTCTGTTCTGGATTTTTTAAACTCTGGAAATAATGATCTCCATGCATTCCCATGAAGGAGGTAGGCAAGTTTTTTCCTTTAGATAGTGAGCAGTCTGTTGATTCACGGTAGCTTTCATGTTTTCCTCATGCTTTTTTCATTTAAAAAAAATTAACGATCCAGATGTAACAAAATTGGGAAGGAAACCTTTGTTTGATCACTGTATTTCAGACTGAAATTAAAAGCAGAGAAAACATAATGCCGGATTGACAGAGTCTGCTCTATTCTGTTCCTCCTGTGCCAATAATTTATTTTTATATATATATATATATATATTTATATATATATATTTTTTAAGGGGTGAAAATCTAGACCCAATCTTACAATTCACAGTAGATGTCCCTTATTCAAAGGCCCACTTGTATCACAAGGGTTGTGCTGTCTTCTGAACTTTAAGGATATGGGTTCTGGTCGCAAGAATGCAAACCAGTGATTTATTCTTTTTTCTCCTTTCTGCCCTGGAGTGTAACCAGCACATTAGACTAATATTTTCTTGCTTGCTAGTGGCTGTTTCTGTTTCTTTTTATTTGGGGATTTTTTGGTAGTGGAAGTCATTAGAGTTTCTCCCAAGAGAATCACTGCCAAAGTAAACAAGCATCTTCATGAAAGAAAAATAATGTCTGTGGAGTATTCAAAATTCCATGTTTTACAGAAAAGTATTTATGGTAACCAACTAGTGAATTAAAGTGAATGAAGTCCTATTTCCAGTGTGCTGCTTCTGCTGTGCTAATTGAATGTGGCAATTTCTGCTAGTTTCTCAGCTATGCAGTACAAGTTCTTGATATTAATTGTAGTTTAGGATGAAGGAAAATATGAGATGAAACTCAGTTTAGAAAGAGGATTTTTTTGTTGTTGGGAATTGAATAGTACTGCCTGTAAAACCCAAAGGAATTGCTATTGTCTCTAAAATGTTCTGCATGTGGTTGGCAAGAACAACAAGGACAGAAGAAAGTTCAGCTAAAATATTCATAAAGGCTGTCTGGTGCAATGCATTGCAGTCGGCTGTATACCTCGGTGCGCTTATCCATGGGAAATGATAATTTTTAGCTGAGATGAAACATTCTGAGAAACAGGAGGCTGGTAGATTTGCAGCATAGGTTGTTTAAAGGTTTAAATACTGTGACTATCTCATCTTGCTGTAAGTCTGTAGATATAATGTAAGCTCAAGTTACTGAAAAGTGATAGAATGTCTCCAAGTGTACAGCCTACAAAATTGTGAAGAGCTTGTTTTCTATATGCCACAGAATTCTGTGCTCTTAACATGTTTCGTCCAGGATAGGAATAATTCTCCAGCAGAGCAACTGTATTTCAAATTCATTGAGGATGAGACCATCTCTAGTTCTTTGTTTAGGCAGTGGTTTTCACAAAGGGAACCAGTGCTAACTGAGAACCGTTGCCAACCCTATCATATGTATCATGACAAATGCTAAGTGTTCAAAAAGTTGGCACTACAAAATAGAGATACTGTCTCTCTCTGTTCGAATCTCAAAATGATTTGCAGTATTTTAAAGCTTGTGTTCTTGCTGATGTACTCACGTATCAGATAGCATTTACAGTAGTCCTTATAATATGACTGGTTAATTCGGTTATATTACCACTACAGAAGACAAAATTACTCCTATGGTAGAGAATACTAGGGTTTTACTGCTGATTTTTTCCTGTCTGTCATGTGCAGAAGAACAGTTTGTCCAGCAGTGTCTTCGGCTGCAGTAAGAACACAGTATTTTCTAGTTTTCCTTACTGTGTACAGTTCAGACACAGCTGCCACTGTTTACCAAACATGAAGGTGTTGTTCACAGCTCTGTGGGTAAGTTTGGGTTCTGTTGTAAGGAATGCGTAAGACATCTCTATTAATTGCATGAATGTTCAGTGTATATTTATATATTTAGCTACTGAGATATAGGATGCTCCCTGAAATTTCTGGCTCCATAAACTAGTGTAACTGACTTGCGCTAAAAAGAACTGCGTTGCAGTTCCAGTCTTGGGATAATCTCTTCTGGACAGTTGCAAACCATAGTCTGACCATATTTAGGAGACCAGCTAGAAGACCCGAGGAGATCTCTGAGTGGAAATTTTTGAGCAAGGAAACTTCGCAATGGAGTTCATTTATGCTGAATGGAATGCCGTAGCCCTTATAGGAGATGCAGTAGGAGGAAGCAAGCACGTGTCTGTAGCTAGGTCTCTGCTCTGCGGAAGTGTACTGACCCTGTAGCAAGTTAAACTGGAGTATGTGTTTGCACCCCAAAAGACTGTTAAGGTTGCTGCTTTAAGTTGCTATGAAGATTTGTCAAAGTTTACTTATTAAACCGCTGAGAGATGACAGAGGAGCAGGTTCTCCTGAGCCATAGCATTTGTCTTGTACTAAGAGCAAGGATGACCTATCTGGTATATACAAGCAAATTCTCTTGACCTTATTTCATCTTTGAGTATAAGATGGATGTTCTGTAACTTTACA